ATATATATATATATATTGATGATTGAAACATTATGTTGTATTTGTTGATCATTATAATAACTGAAATATAAACAAATTTGTCAAAAAAATTTTTTTTTCTAATGCCTTTTCGTAAAAAGGGCACTGGAAGGGTTTAAAGGACGATTCTGACGTAACGAGGGAGAATGTTCACTCGAAAGATCGAGGGGACTCCCTCGTCGGAAGTTGCTGAATCTGCGGCTAAGGAGAGCACTTTTATACTCTATTCCCCTCTTTTTCCTTTACCTAGGCCTCTCATGCTTTTCTCTGCCTTTCTCGATACCAACCGTTCTTTCCTTCTTACGTGACCAAGTTTGAATTTTTCACTTTTTTTCTATTCGTTTTTACTTTTCACGCACCCAAAAATCTTTCTCTTTACATGATTATTCAAGTAATGAAAACATGATAATTAGGGTAAGAATATTTGAGAATTGCTTTTGAGAAAATTTTTCAGTGGAAATTATGTTGAGTGTGTAAAATAATTTTCATTCTCAATTGATATTATCTATTTGCGAAAAATAATTCTTGAAAGCAATTTCAGAGAAAGTTTTATTCTCAAATATATTTTTATTATATTAATTTTAATATTTTTTCTTCTTCATTTCATAATCGATATTCATACCAATGTATTAATAAATATAAATATATTTAATATTTGTCAATATTGTTAATTTGCAAAAATATAAAAGTTGGGTGGATTTTTTTATAAATAAATAGATTGTGTTTCTTCTTAAATAATTCACTATAATCATTTTGATAATTTCCAATTATTAATCAATAATTGAATTTTTTTACTACAAAAAATACTTGATTTTTAAAATATATAGACATAATTATTTAAAATTTTCAAAAATTAGAATTAGAATTAGAAAATTAGAATTTCTATAAAGAATTTCTATAATTATATATAATCTTTAATTTTAAAATAATCTTAAAAAAATTTTTAAATAATCTTTAATTATAAAATTTTTATAATGCATCTAATTTATAAATAATATTGAAAATCATGATTGACTATAAAATATTACTTTTATCAATATTAGCTAAATTGAAATCTAACTTTTAATTAACTGATCTTTTAAATTGAAATTTTAATAATAAAATAAATAAGATTTTATAAATTTAAAAAATTTATTCAATTGTCTTATATTCAACATAAAATTATATGAAATTTAAAAGAAGTTTATAATCGATAACTTGTAATTTATTAATTCACTAATATAATATTATTATATAGAAAGATATATGATATAAATTTTAATTTTTAGTTACACATAATTGTAATTTTATTTTATTATGAACGAAAACAATCAATTTAATATTTTTACAATATTTGAAATACAGTATTTTAATGAAAATTCAAATATTCATATTATGTAAATCTTTATTTATTTTTTTTATAAACAAAGTTTTTAAACATTAATTTCAAAATTTTTTATTTTATGAATACTCATAATTTGATTCGAAATTTTGTTTTTGTGGAGAATACACGTGATAAACATTGGTGAGTAATATAGAACTCGACATGATATTCTTTTGAATCTAGAGCTTCTAATGGCTATTCTTTTCGCTCCAGTATTGTAGTGCAAACAATGCAGTTTCTTTGACTGTTGGGTTATTCTTATCCTTTTCAAATATGAAGTGGGAAATGTCTAGAATGTGAATAAAAGACTAGATAATCTACTAATTATGCAATTTCCGTTTTAAACTATCTTTTTCAATTAAAATAATTAATTAAATATATCATATAACTCTTAAATATATTTCTATTTTAAAAAAAATAATATAAATATATAAAATAAAATAATATAAATAATATACATAAAATGTTTTTAATAAAATATAAATGATGAAAAAAAAATTAATCAAATGTATGATTATTTTTTTATAACATTATACAAATTGTTTAAAAAATTTAAATTTAAAAAGAGATTCGCATTTGATCGATAACTTTCATTTATACAACATCCATAATTTATCCATAATTTTTAATTGAATACGAATGAATTATTAATAAATAATTATTATAAATTCTATGTATTATACAATTATTATTATACAAATTATACAAATTTTATATATGAAAATAATAAAAAAATATAGAATAAAATTTTATCGTTTAAATTTTTGTTTCCGAAAAAATTAAAATTGAATATATACAATCAAAAAATAGTATAATCAATTTTCGATAAATACAATTTTCTTGGAAATTAATTTTTAAATAAAAAAAATAATAAATTTTTTGTTTATTTTCACATTTAGAATTATTTATTCTTTATTTATTCTTTATTTCTTTTATTCTTTTATTTATTCTTTACCTTCTCTAGTTCATTCATATACTATGAATATTCGAATTAGCTAATTTCATTTGTATTTGAAAAACTTTCAAATTTGATTTACTTAAAATAAAACCTATCACAATTTCCTTATTTTGAATTTATGAATATAAAATCCATAGAATTTTTGATTCTGTACAATGAATTATGATCATCCCATATATATTTATATATAAAACTAAATTGTCTTTTGAACTCTTGGATTATGAGTCACCTAATATGATTGGATCAAAAATACTTCATTATTAATAAATTTAAATTTAAATAATTCAATTTTTATTATCCAATTAGCGTTATTCTATTGTAACAATTGGAAAAAATGATCTAGTTATAGCTATAAAGACAGCAATAATTAATCACGATTGCTTTGTTCTCTATAATTTTTAATTATTTTTTCTTATGTATTATTAATAATGACGATGAAAAAAATAAATTTTATTAAATATAAATAAAATAAAATTATTTTAAGAATTTTTTTTATTATATTATATTATAATAAAATAATAAAATAAAACAATGATTTTATTAAATAAAATAATAATAAAATAAGCATAATACAGTCATAAAATTTTGAACTTGAACATATTATAATGAATAGTAACATCATAAAAATAGAGTAACTCATAAAAATATTTAAATATTTATATTAATGTAATATATTTACATTCAATTACAATTCTTTCGTTAATGAATTTTTAATAAATTTGTAGCAATTCTTTATTTTTGCAAATTTTTGAAAATCTCAACAATCGATTTTAATCCATTCAAAATACATTACAATAATTTTTATAAGATCGAACAAATATAAAAAAAATTTTTTTATAATTATAGATGATATTTATCATAAAATATAAAAAATAATATAAATATTAATTTTAAGAAAATTAATTATCATTTCATGATTATTATTATAAATTTAGAAAATTCGTTTTGATCATTAAGCAATAAGATATTTTTGTCTTCCATTTTTTTTAAAATCTATTGTTTACGATAAAAAGATTTGGGAAGTATAAATATAAATATATATATAAATGCTTATGATATCCTTAATATGATATTCTTAAATATTTAAAAATATTTTTTCAAAATATTAAACTTATTAAATACATATAATCTATTCTGATTTGACTAACATTATTTTTTATTTATTAATTCTTCGAATGTATATATTAGAAAAAAACGAAAAAATCAAAATTGTATGATTATTTCTTATTATGATATTATTATTTATATGATATTATTATTATGTTAATATAAAAAATTTATCTCTAATCTTTTAAAATTAATGTATAAAAATAATTTTTATAAAATACTTAATTTAATCCTTATTTTCATTATTTTCATAATATCAATTAAAATATTTTTCTATTATAAATTAATTAATATTTTAAAATGAATAAATAAAATGATATTTATAATATAAATAACACATTAGAAATATTTGAGAATTGCTAATTTTTTTAAATTTATCTCATTTAATTTAAATTTCTTCGTACAAAATTTATTAGCATTAAATTAAATAATTTTGTAAAAATTGAATTATTATAAATTTTCGAATAGAAATTTATAAAAATTAAATAATAAATAATTAATAATAATTTTTAAGTATTTTATAGCATCTTAAAAAATTTATTGATTAAATATAAAGAATTTAAATATTAAATTCTATAGAAAGCAATTTTTTTTCATTATTACAAATTATAAAAAAAAAAGAATTTAATCCTTTCGTTTTCCACTCTAATCATATTTAATTTTCATATTATAACATGAGATGGGATATTATGAGATTTATGAGATATTTGATTATTATAAAAATAAATTATTTAATTAAGATGTAATTTTAACCATTTAAAAAATTATATTAATAATATTGATAATTCGATAAGTTCGTATCTTTTGCAGATTGATATTTTTCATATTGCTGTCAATGTACAAAAATCGGAATTACGCTCTTGATGTTTCTTCAGCAGCTTCAAAGACTTCTTCGAAAGTTACGTTAACCAGAGGAACCGTCAACGACATTGTTTCTAGAAATATCACAATGGTTCTCGAGAATCTTCTAATGAATTACGAAAACAATCAACTACCTACTCACGGAAAGGGTAAAGAAACAAATAGTTATACTTTCATTTTATTTCGAACATTATTTTTTAAACCAATTTTCAATCAATTTTCATATTGATATCTATATTAAATAAATATTATTTTCATCATTTTTGGATCAATATCTATACAAAAATATATATTATATATTATAAATTTTGTTTTATTTCACGTATAAATAATATTTTTAAAAAATATTTGTAAAAAATAAAATATTTTATTTAAATCGAATTAAAATATAAATTAGTACAATATAAATTTGTATACATATGTTGATATACTTCTTGAAATACTTTTGAAAAATCAATTCTAAAGATAAAAACAAACATAAAAATTCATATACAAAAATGCTCATTGAAATTTATTTATTAAGTTACAAGAAATTTAACATCGCTTTAATTGAAGAAACGGAACTAAAAAAGACAACAGTGTAACGAAGACAAAATGCTTTCTCATTTTCGTTTCATCTAATGTAAATTTCAATTATTTAAAACTTAATGAATAAATCTCAACTCTCAATTATTGTATTTCAAGTTTTGCGTTTATTTTGACTTATAGAATCGATTTTTGAAAATATTCTATGAATATAAAAAAAAAAAAATCCATTATTTTTATATGTAATTCAAAGTCCATAAATTTTTTAAAAAATGAATTTGAAAAATAAATCATTGGATGGGAAACTGTAAAAGAAGAATTATGATTCATTTTTCAAATTCATTCTTAAAAAAATTTACGGACTTTAAATTATAATATATAAAAATATATAAAAACAATTGATTTCTTTCCGTTTCATCTAATATTAACATCTTATATACTATTATTACTTTTTAAATTTTCAAATTTCTTTTTTCAATTATCATATATCATAATTTGCATTCATTTTTTCATTTCATTTTTATAAATTTACTTACATTCAATAATTCGTAATATTATAAGATTAAATTTTATTTTACTTAATACATTTTTTATTATTAAATTCTATATATGTACATATATAGAATTGTTAATATTGAATGTTATATATGTACATATATAACATTTAGTTACGATTTTTTTACTAATCAAAACAATTTTTTATTCATAAAATTTTTTTCATGCTCTGACAGATTTTGCATGTTCAGAATAAATTGGATTAATTCAATCTCGATGATGAAAGGATTAAGCGATTACGATAGTTTGATAAAAAAAAATTTGGGCGTGTTCTTAATTTTTTCTCCCAATTTTTTCATTTTGTCCTTGATTTTCTTTTTAAGTATAAAATTTTTGAATTATTTTTTTAATACGTACAATATTATACATAATTATTATATATAATATTATATATTGAATAGTCTAAAATGATTCTGATTAATATCAGAAATTTAGTTTTGAGAGGTTTCATGATTCGAATAAAGATTTAAAATTATTCAAAGTATAATCTAAATAAAAAAATTCTACATAAAATCAAAAATTTAAAACCATAATATCATATTTTTTTTATAATGATTTCAAATTTTTCTATTACAATTAAGTATAGTATCATTAATGTATCATTAATAATAAGTTTATTGATAAAAACTGATGAAAAATGATCCAAATGTGATTTTTTTATATTGTTCTTTCTATTCTTCAAATTTTCGATTGTTAAAAAAGAAAATTTTTGATAATTTTCAATATATAAATTATATGAAATAATATATATAATATAATATATATAAAATATATATACATATATATNTTTTCATATATTAAAATACAAATAATTAAGAGATATTCTTTTTAATTCGTGGATTATTAGTAGCTTGTGATATTTATAAAACAATTGTATGTAAAAATAATTATATACAAAATAAAATTAGATGTCATTCAGTTTTGTTAACAAATTAAATTCAAAAAAAAAAGAATTATAAGAATAAATTAAAAAAAAATAAATGATCATGAAGTAAAAATAATAATAACGATAAAATTTATTAATATTTGATAGGAACAATAAAAATATTACATTGAAGATTGAATATATAACTTAATTTACTTTTTAAATATACACACTATATTATAATATTCCATGAATTTTATTGTTGTGCATTAATTTAAAATCATAGTATCCAAATCATGGAATAAAATCGTAAAATCAAAATATAAAATTACCTCCTATTTTTTTATATTTTCTTTACTTAATAAAATCATTGTATAATAAAGAAATTTTTTAAATAAATATTATCTCTATTTTTTTTATTTTATTTAATGAATTACTTTATTTATTTTTAGCACTTTTATTTTATTCTAGTCTTTCGATATAAGTGAAAAATAATAAATATAATTTAAAAATTTACTTATACTATATTTATTATTATATATTTATATTATAATATAATTTTGTGAGAAAAAGATTATTTTAATTTTAATATTAAACTTCGTTTTGATTGTACGAAATATCAATTAATAAAAATATTAAATATTAAGAAGAAAAGAAATTTTATCAGACGAAATATTGTAATCAATTAGATAAAATATATATATTTTAATTTTATTTCTAAAAATTGAAAAACTATTGAAATTTATAAATTATATCTAAATAAAATATTTCTTAACAGTGTTGAATGTTGAATATTAAAAATAAAAATAAAATAAAATAAAATAAAATTAATAATAATATGAATTATAATAATAATAATTTATTATAT